TGGTTTGTGTGTTCTCCAACACAACTCTCACAATGCTTCTCTGAACGCACTCGCTCTCCCAACGGGGAGCTTACCTTACAGGTTCTGTTGAAAAAGGAGAAAAACAGTCCAGTTGCCTTTTGAAAAACCACCTTTGAGGCAACTATGACCTGGAGGACTGAGAATCATCACAGACATTTTGTGAGAAAAACTCTGAGGCTGCCTTGACATAGGGAATATTTATGTCTGTCTCAAATTAGCATACCTAGATTTGTTCTACCACTGCTTCTAGTCTGCCTAAAGGCCAAACTAAATATCCAATGGTCATATATTTTTTAAACAATGAAATATATCTGGAGAGAACAAAATGACATTATTTTCATTTGATTCTTTATTACTGATCTTTTTACTACCAAGGACCTTGGTGACCCTTTTAACTCTCTCTCTCTCTCTTTCTTTTTCTATTTCAGTATTTTGTCTTTGACTTTCATGTTCCCCCGGATGTCATGTTTGATAAAATCATCAAATTATCGGTGAGCAATGTTTACCTCTCAAGTTGGAATAGTCTCTGAAGCATGACTGAAAGTATTCCTACTTTGAAAGATGGCATCCAGAGATGCAGCTAGAGTAGATATGGATAAATAATGGGGAAGGTACCTCTCCTTTGAACTGAGGTTGTAACCTAATGACTTCATATTGAGCCCTGGAAGTGCAGTGGTGAGAATGCAATTGTCAGGGTTCTAAGTAACACCCCCAATGAAAGAAGACTCTGAGGCTTGAGGTTCCTCAAAGTTCCATTTTATTAGAGATGTCATATTGACGCACCTGGGAAAACCCGAATCTGAATGTTTCCAGGTTTCCCCCACCCAAACGAAAGTTCAAGTCCCTGCCCAGCACCTCATGTCTATCACATGGTCCAACCAGGCACCGTCCCAACTGGAGATGCCTCCCAGTCACACCACTTGAGGTGCAGGGCGAGACGTCCTTGACTTTCTGAGAAAGGAATGTTATTTTGACTATATCTATCCCACTCCATATAATCCCCCTTCACAATTTCCCACAGCATTAAATGTGGCAGGTCTGAAGGCCCAATGCAAAAGATGGCTTCCAGGCCCAACAGCAGTATTGCAGGCTAACTTTGCCGACTGCCAGGAATTCAATCCTCGGTTGACCCAGCCTTTCATCTTTCCCAAGTCAGTAAAAATGAGGACTCGGATTCTTGAGGGCAGTATGCTGACTGTAAACCACTCAGAAAATGCTGTAAAGCACTATGAAGCAGTATATGAGTCTAAATGCTATTGCTATTCATCCCACTTTGTGGGCATCAATACAATATAGTTTGCCATTGCCTTTTATTGGTATTGCCTTTCAATTTACATTAATGTTCACCTATCAGAAGAAGCCGGGCTTCAGTTGTATGGTTGTGGCTGCCATCTTGACTTTTTTTGGGACACAGATAGTCTGTAGACACTCCTGGGAGAATGGCTGAAGGTGTTATTTATTTAGAATCACATTTTTGACAGAACAGCTGTCTTGAAAATCTAGTAGAACTAGTAAACTGAAATTATTGCACTCAATTGACAAACCTTTTCAGTAAGATATGTGTAGCTGCAGCATCTTTGCGCCTCTCCTGAGAGTAGCAAAAAGAGAATAAAGGATAAACAAGCAGAGGGAAATGTGGCCCTTAGTGTAATGTGAGCATTCACTTAATTTGAATAATTTAACAGAATTAGGAAAAATGACTTTTTGGTAGCCTGCAATACATGCAGCTTTGGGGCTCATTAACACTTCACCTGCAGAAATTCATCCTTTACTGACATTAATAGGATTGTATTTTAGTGTCTCTTATATTTCACCAATGCATTTACTTTATTCGATAGTATTTATTTTCTTAGTAATGTTTTGAACACCTGGCAGTGGGCAGTGTAAAATCCAAAGAAGGAAATAGAGTAGAGTGGAATGGAGTGGAGTGGAATGGAATGGAGGAAGGGAGGGAGGGAGGAAAAAGGAGGGGAGGGGAGGAGAAGAGGGGGAGAGGAGAGAAATGGAACGGAACGGAATGGAATGGAACGGAGCAGAAGAGAACAGAACAGAATAGAACAGAATAGAATAGAATAGAATAGAAGCAACATTCAATCAATCTATTAAAGTAGATTGAGGGAAAAACTAAGGGAAAAATATAGTCCCAACCACAGTTACCTTATTTAGCCACATGACTTTATTGTTATATGAAACAGTGACTAAAACTTTACTCACTCTCTCTTTAGAGTATGTTAAATATTTAAAAATTCCATTGAAGAAATACGCAGACACTTAGGAAAATAAGAAAGGTCTTTACTTTACACTGATGGGGGCCTGGAGGTGGAGGTAGAGAAATCTCCCTGTGGAGAACATTCCACAGGAGGTGGTTTCTAACTCCAAGGCAGTTTTTTTGGCAATCCTGTGGTCCTCTGTGCCTGAGATTACCTCTGTTTTGTGAACCTGCAGGTGATTCACTCCAAGAACATCCTGCGCAGCGGAACCTTGGTGGGTTCTTTCAAAATGGACGTTGGAACTGTCTACACCCAGCCAGGTGTGTAATGCAATATATATAGAAAGAGTTGTGTAAGAGAAATCCTCTTGCTTTTTCTGGTCTTGGAAATTTTGCTTGGGAGGCACTTCATGTCAAGAACTCATTTCTATGCAGTTGCCCAGGCCGGTACTCCCTGGAGATATTAAATATCCCATCTGCTGCTAATATAGCCTTTCCTCAATGTCCCATCGGGCTATGAGACCACAGCAAAAGTGCAATTCTCGTGGCCTCCCTTCTCTTCCAGCATGGCCATGGGACTCTCAGAAGCATTGCTTTCCACCTGTTAAATGTTTATTCTAGTTTATTCATCCAAACACAATAGACTACATTGAACTAGTCAATAGTTTTGGAGGAAATCACATTCATATGATGGAATATAAAACTAGATTTTTTTAAAAAATTGTTATTCTGCAAATGATGCTGTCCTCTGTAGTTCCATTCAGACATGGGGCGTTAGTCTTGTCAAGAGAGCTCTAGCTCATTCATGGTTCTTTCTTCTCCTTTCCTTGCAGAGCATCAGTTCTACCACAAGTGGGCCATCATGTCTGACCCAGAGGACATCACAGCTGGGCTAAAAGGCTACGTAAAGGTTGACATCGCAGTGGTGGGCAAAGGAGATAATATAAAGACACCACACAAAGCTAATGAGACAGATGAGGATGATATTGAAGGGTGAGAAGTAGGAGATGCTGGGCAGGGTTGGTTTCACCTCCATGTTATCAAATAGCCATAAATTCTTCCAGGGCAACTTTGGATTGGTCCTGCATCTAGGCTACAGAGGGGTAGAATCAAGATCACATGAAGTGTTATAATGTCTTGGTAGGGCCACACTTGGAATACTGCATTCAGTTTTGGTCGCCACAATGTAAAAAAGATGTGGAGACTCT